GGCAGGTGTGGTGGCTGGTCCTGCCAACATCCCCCCCAGGCCTGCTTCCTGGAGCCCTCCCCTCCTCAGTCCTGCTTAATCCATGTTATCATTGAAAGCCCGTGCTGCAGAGGACCCAGATAGCCTCCAAAAACACCCATGTGCTTCCTTTTCTTTGACCCCGTATCAAAGCTCTGACAGTAAGACACCCCAAGGGATTCATCAGGTCCCTTCCAAGCAGTTCGAGGGCTCCTTTTCCAAGATTTCATGCAGGACAGGTGCCACTCCATACCCTGTACCAACAATGTCAAGTGTGGAATCTTGGAGAAGGAACACTGTCCTTAACAGCTATGGTGGCAATGAGGATGACAACGACAGACCAGCTGCCATGGGTAAAGGCTGAGAACTCAAACAAATAGGGGAAATTGCTTGGCATCTCATTCTAGGCTTCTGAAAGTACTCCATGGGCCTCGCCTGCCACTGGAATACATGAGGTCAGGCGAGAGCCACAGGCAGGAGCTGCTTAAAGCTGAAGAAGTTCACTGCCAAAGTGAATGAATGATGCCACCACTCACAATGACTTGTTGAAATGACTGTTACGTAAATGAGTGATACATGTCAAGCATATGGGACTGGACAGGTAGGGAGCACTGAGCAGTGTCACCTATCGTAACCTCACCAGCATTATCGCCAAGGTTATTATTATGGAATCTGCTGTCAGGGTCCTCGACGAGGGAGTCAGGTAGAGGTCTCTGAACCTGAACCAGAGCCAGGACACCTAGAAAAAACTGGCAGGCCCTAGAGGTCATGTTTTATTCTCTGCTGCTTCCGCCCCAGATAGATGGTTTTGGCATGCTTATTCTCAATGGTACAGGAAAAATCTGGTCCTTTAGCAAGTAGCTCCCAGCCCACAGACTCTTATCATAAGTGTTTTGCATCCCCCACGAGGTTCTGCTGGAGCCTTATTGTCAAAGCTCTTCCTTTAAAGGCCCTGCTAGCTTCATGAAGTCTGCAGGGAGGTTTGGCTGGGCAGGAGGTTGTTCTTGAGTTTAAAACCTCTGAAAACTAACTGATAAGATTGGGAGGTATTCACTAATATTTGGGGGCCTATGCAGTATCCCGGCCTTAGGCCAACAGCAGTGGCAGGAAGCATCGCTGCGACTCCCTGCCCAGGCTCCACCACCCCACCAGGGCTGAGGGCACATGTTTGGGTGGCATTAACCCAACCCTCTGCTCAACACAACCTTATCCTTTGGCTGTCCCACTAACACTGGGGTGCATTTATAGTTACTGGTTTAAAAAGAGTTGAGTGGGGTCCCCTTGCAAGAAAGGTGATTGTGGTGAGTGAAATAAGTCAGGAAGTGAAAGACAGGTATCATATGGTTTCACTCCTCTGTGGAATATAAACAATGAAATGTACACAGGCAAAATACAGCAGGAATCAATCTCAAACACAGTGAAGGGGTTTAATGGCTATCAGAGGGGAAAGAGGAGGGAGTTAAAGGAAAAGGTGATGTTGGCACAGGTGGTCTGGTGGAAGGTGAGTGAAACATGTATACATATGGAAGAATAAAAATGTAATCCCAAAATAAAAATTAAAAAAAGAGAGATGAATCCTTCATGAGACCAAGGGGGCACTGTCCCCTTCCCCTCTAAGGAGGGCGCTTGGTCAGGGTATGTGTCTGGGCCGGAGGCAGCACTTTCCACAGAAGGGCCAGGGGCAGACCTGAGACCCGGCTGCGGTCAGCCTGAGGCCCCCGCTGCAGCGTCCCGGTGTGAGGAGCCAGCCCGTTCCTCCTGCGGCAAGACCATCCAGCTGGCTTTATGTCACCAGCAATCCATGGACTGAGAGCTCAATATTTACCTAGTAACAGTTTTATTCCTGTTCTTAGTCTGGGGAGACTAATTTGTACCTTGCAGGGTTGGATGAGGATTAGAAGCCTTTGAGTCATAGTGAGGAATCAGCCCACAGATGCAGCCACCCTACTGAAACTTCACAGAGACCCCGAGCCTCAGAGGCAAAGTTGTGTGCCCACTTCACGGAGGTGAAACATTCCCAGGGAAGCTGAACGAGTGCCCCGAGGTCTCCTAGCATCACTTGAAGGGACAGCAAGTCCAGGTGAATGTTCTCTAGAGTCTGCTCATCCTCCTCATGCCCGGGGCTATGGAAGAAGGACACTGAACCTCTGTGAGGACAAGATGGCACAGCAGTGGCACTGGAGATGCAGGAGGGAGGTCAGACGACACACACCACGTCTGCTGCCCCTAGCCTCACTACTCTCTTGCCCCAGCCAGTGTGGACAGAGGGGAAGGCATACAGCATCCACGTGGCCAAAAGTCCAACCAAACAACAACAACCTGGTTGGGGCATTGGTGAGTCGAGGACTTCTCAAGGTCAGGAGGCCACGCTGACCTTGATGGCTCCAGCCATTCCCAGCATCCGCAGATACCCGTCCCACTGACTTGTAGTGGCACCTACCCCTTGTTCCTCTCTGTGAACTTGGAAGCATTCACAATCAAACCCACATCTCCGAGCACATCGGGAGGGTGCAGAGCCTGTCCCGAGCTAGGTGGCCCCGGCTGGCGAGTCTCGCTGCTCCTCCTCTCACCTCCATCCACACTCGCTTGTATCAGTTTCTCACCTGCACAATGGGATCATCACGGGCCCATCACAGTGCTGTGAGGGCTTAAAATAAACCCCTTGATGTTTTTGCCGGGTTGGTGGGTGGGCACAGCAGGAAGTGAAGAAGGCGTGTGTCCCACATGTGGCACTGTGACCAGAACATGGAGTATAATAAACATGTGACTTTGCTGTTGCTGGCCATAGGACAATGGCCAACCCTTGGTGTCTGGGCCTGCTGCCCTATATGGCCTTGATTTTGTGCTATATGATGCTGAGTCTGGCCCCCCTGTGGCCAGGTGCCTTCAGTCCCCAGTCCTGCCACCCACTTTGCTTCTCTCGCTCCACTTCTGCATGTTGCGTCCCTCTCCCTCTTCTCCAGAACAGTCTCACTCTCCTTGAAGACTTGGCCCAAATTTCACCTCCAGGCAGAACATTTCGTCATGGGAAAGGATCAGTCTCTCAACTTTGAAGGTCAGGGCAAAGCTCAAAGGATAATAAGCTGAGACCTGTTTGCCTTCCCTCTGAACTTTCCTTAGATTTCTCTGGCCTTCAGATTATGCCCCGGTCACTTGGAAAGGCCTTCTCTGAGTGACCGCAGCCTCAGCGCCAGCACTAAAATCCCTCCCCTGCCCGAGGGTTTCTGGTCCTGGCACTGGTCCTATTCCTGTGCTCCTGCCATGCTCCCGTAGGAGGAAGTGGTCAGAGGACAGAGAAGGACATTTGACCCCATCATAGCCTGAAGGCCAGGGGCCCAGCTGCCCATTGCCACAGCACAGCTGAGGGAGCTGGGCTTGGGAGCCGCTGGCATGACAGGAGCAGCAGGAACTGCCTGGACTATGGAGGCACAGAACAACTCAGGCCAAAGCCAGAGTTCAGGGCAAGGACAGAACACTCACTAGCCAAGCACTCCATGGGAGGACCCCAACCGCACTAAGTAAACTGGCCTTCCAGAACTTCTGCCTCAACCAAGCTGGGAGGGGAGAGTGTCAGAGCAGCCCAGGCCAGGACCCCACAGAGCCCCACTGTTCTGACCAGAAGTCCGGCCACAAGTATAAATGCTTCTCAGTTTAGCAAGTGCCTTTGTTCTATTTCCAGAGTGCTAAAATCATGGTCAGTTGCATGAAGTTTCATAGTTGCCTCCTGGGGAGACGAACTGCTGATCTCACTCAGCCATAGCCAGACCTCTCTCCTGGGGTCACATGAGTTTGTACCCACTGCCCAGCAAGTTCCACCAACGCAGGGACTTCTGTCTCTTTTCTTCACTGTTTATTCCCAAGCTGCTAGAATAGTACCTGGTAGACAACAATTACCAGTGGGATCATTTTGTACCCTGATATCAGTAACAGGACTTCTAAGGGTCAACAGCAGCCAAGAGCAGGGAGTGTTGAGGCAGCGTACAAGGCCCCCCAGAGAGCTCCAAATCCATTTTCAACTGAAATTTATACCATGTTATTCATTTATAATCACAGGAAATAAAGCTTTCGTTGTCCTCTCTGTACACTTTTACCCTCTTCTCCAGTGGTTAATCGGACACATTAACGTTTCCTGTCAACCAGCTTTTTGCCTTTGGTTGTCTCATATTATTTCCAGGGCTCATAGTTGCACTTAGTAGGAAAGAGTTAGGAGACATCAACATAAGCCATCTCAAATTTTTAAACCCTAAGTGTTTGTAAATCTCCTACAACTATTGTGTCACCTGTGAGATATGTCCCATGAGCTAAAAGTCTAGCACCGTAGCACAGGTATCACTAACAATCATGCTCTGCAAGAGTGGGGCCTACGACAAGCAGGCATCAGTGGAAGGGGACTAGGAGTATCGTGGCCAAGGACATCAAAATAGTTGCTTGCGGCCCTCCCTGGTGGCGCAGCGGGTTAAAGCACAGCACTGAGAATCTAAAGCCGCTTCCGCATGAGTTCAATCCCCGCCTGCCCCGGAGGTGACCAGACCTCTCCTGACCGGCCCGCTGCTCCCCTCAGCAGTGTACTTCGTCGATCTGCCTGTTCTGCTCCCCACTCTGTCTCTGGTGAAGCCTCTCGCCGCCCCTGAGCCTCTGGCCTGTACCCCAGTTCTGTATGCACAAATAAATAAATCTTTTAAAAAAAATAATAGTTGCTTGTAGCTGCCAGCTCCTTCCTCAACAGGGGGAGCAGGTCTCCAGGTGCTGGGGCTGAGCCCTGCCAACATGCACAGCGGGTCAGTAGGAACTACTGGTTCTCTGAACCCTCTGGGGGTGCATGCCAGAGTATGGAATCTGGAGACATGCAAATCTATGCAAAACACACATTTTCAGACTAGAATGCAGACCTTTAGCTACAGATTTAACCAATTTCTTGGTAACATCAAAAGAAAGTAAAACAATAAAGAGTTTCATTTGATAAAAGGGAAAAATACTCCTACCTGTTCTGAGGACATTTCACCAAATAATGTCTCACTGTAAAGGAAGAAAAACAGAAGAGGGTAAGTCAATGCTGCTTTAGGTCTGTGTGCTTCAAAACTACCAGGAGATGCAGGCAGCCAGGTACTTTCCAAATGGTGGAAATTAACCTCTCAGGACTTTCACACAGAGTGAGTTCAGCAGAGCCTTAGTGGAGTCCCCTAGGTGAGTCATTCTCAGATCTAGAAAGGCATTAAGTCAAACTTCTGGTCTTACAACCTCAGACACTGATTTTTGGTCAAATCAGGTTGAATCAGGTTTTAACATGAAAAGTCCTAGGATTAATAGAGTCACCCAACTTCTACGCGCCACCTTAGTCACAAGAAAGCCTTCCTGGGGCAAGGTGGACCCACATGTCTACACTTTAAAGCGCCTCTGTTAAAAGGATTTTCACTCTCTCATTAATGCTCTCCCGTGACTAAAAGGAAACCCATGGGCAAGACTTAAAGCAAGACACACCCCCCACAGCAGATCTCCTTGAGAATGAACAAATGATTTTAACTAAGGAGGAAAAATTAGTTTATCTAGGTACTTAGCTGAACAAGTGCCCAACCTAAGACTCTTAGTTCAGTCCATCCCAAGTAGAAATAAAGCAGCAACAGCCCCAGGCCCCTGGGCCTTGTGCTGCATTGGGACCCACAAGCCCACTCCCTAGATCCTTCAACTAGATCCTTAATCCCCTCCCACACTGACTTTGGGTTTGGCTACAGGAAATGCTTTGGCCAATGAAACATGAACCAATGTGTCATAAGTAAAGCATACAATGTCCTGTGAAGTTTTCTCTGTCTCTTGTTGCAGGGGCCATCTCTCTACCGCATGAAGCAGCCTGGCCAGTATAGAAGATGAGACCACATGGAGGATATAAATTGCCCCAGTTGATCCACCAGTGGGCTTCGACTGCATAAGTGGTCCTAGCTAAGCCTATTTCCAAACACTGACCTGAAGACCTGTGAGCAAATAAAATAGCTATATTTTTAGCTACTATATTTGGAGTGTTCTGTTATGTGGGTAACCAATGAAGGTTCCAGGTTCGAGGATGACAAGCTTACCCTTAGCGTGGATTCTGTGAGCTTATCTGGCCCCAATCTCTATTTTAGTACCGAAACCCTCTATTCTACTTGCTAAGTACCTAGTATGTGTTGGGTAGTTTACACCTGCAGTAACAATGATACCTCAGTTAGTATTCATTGAACACCTCCTATGTTCCTGGCATTCATCTAAGTTTATTATATGGATCAGTTCCCTTTAGTCTGCGGTTTACCTTTGCACACTTTAAGAAAGTTTTAAGGAAATCAATACCTCACTTTTGGGGTAGCCTCTGCTAGGAATTCACTGCCCTAGACCGTGCCTGCATCACCATTCCTTTCCCTGCCTCCCCTCTCAGATCACTTTTTCTACTTCAGAAAATTAAGGCACACCCTCACCCATCCTGACTTATACTAAGAAGATCTGTTCTGGGGGTAAAGCCAGTGGGACCCCAAATAAGAAATGATTCGAAGCATTGGTGCCAGTGTTGAGAAAGCAAATGACGAATGACTGGGTAACTAAACATTTCACATGGGAAGTTGTCAGTTGGTAGAATATTAAAAAAAATTTTGATGATATATTATTACATGACATTTGACATATATCTCAAAAGTAGTTTAAAATATTGAGTGGTATGAGAAAACGTCTGCTATTCCTACCTCTTTTTATATTGAATGAGGTATTTTGAGTTAACATCTATTAAAAAATAGAAATAGAATTGGTGCTGAATTCTACTACTAAGCAAACTCACAAAAGGTATATGAAGTAAAAATAAAAATCCATGTCAATAAAAATGCAATTCCAATAAATTTTGCTTCTTATGAATATTAATTATTTATCTAAATTTATAATATATTTATGTGGTTTTGATTATTTGTGACAATCTTCCAAAGTTTACTAATTGGGAAATCCTGATAACTCAATCTAGAAACAGTTTCTAATACCTAGAGACTTATGGAATAAGGAAGTTAAATTCTTAATTTAAAGTTTTATTTACATTTATTTGACAGAGAAGTACAATAGGATGATCAATAAAGGATTTCATCGTGAGGGCAGTAGATTAAAGAAAAAGTTCAAGGAGAAAAGGGACTAATATACAATTTTTAACAATTAAAGCTTGTTCATGAGTGTTTTCTCCTCTCACATAGTCTTTTTAACCAAAAGAGGTGGTTATTAAATCCATGACCTTTAAGTGTAAAAGAGACATATAACCATTTCATTTTAAGCTTTCAATATTTGTGATGCTCTAGAAATTGCATCCTCTGCAAAAATTTACACTTATGTTAAAGAAATTTAGATGTCGACAAAAAGGAATAGTTTTTGGAATTATTTTAGGGGCTAGGCAAACAAGAATGCAAAACCCTAACTGTGTACTCCAATTTAATCTTTTGAATGACCTTGTCATTCACCTATTGTACAGTGGAGAACAGCGAAACCCAGAGAGGTTAACAACCTTGCCCAGGGTCACACAGCTCATGTTCCTGCCCTGAGTTGTAGCCTTCCAAAATTCACCTGTTGGACCCCTGAACCCAAGTACCTCAGGATGTACTGAATTTGGAGATAGGGGCATTAAAGATTAAGTTACAATGAGGTCAGTAGAGAGGACTCTAATCCAATTTGTTTGGCATCCTTACAAGAAGAGAGAGCAGGACACAGACAAAGAAGAAAGACCAGTGAAGACACAGGAGAAACAAGCTCCCTAAAAGCCATGGAGAGGGACCTCAGAAGAACACTGCTGGCAGCTGACATTAACCTTCTATCCTCCAGAATTGAGAGAAACACATTTTTATTGCTTTTGGCCCCCAACTTAGGTACTTTTCTATGGCAGCCCCATCAGAATAACACACTCAGAGCGGACAAGACCGGCAGGGGTGCAGCCTGTTGGGAGGGGATGTGCCTTAGCCCTGCTCTCACTCCTGCACCACTGGGGCCTGTCATTTTGGAATTGCAGCCACATCCTCTCCCCAGCTCCTTTCCATTCCTGCTCCCTGGGAACTAGTGTTCGCCCAGCAACTTCCCTAGCACCACTAGTCCTCAGGATCACAGCAGGCACAATGATGCCCTAGCCACCCGGAGTGGTTGAGGTGTGTCCCTTACTCACCCTTGAGCTGAGGTAGTCTGGGCGTGGGAAAAGACAAAAATCATTTTTCCCTTGTATTGTGTTTAAAGATGATCACAAATTCCCACCATTCTCCCCTTCCATCTCAGCTGCCCTTAGCAGTTGCTGTGACCAAAGGAATATGGCAGCATGACAACTGTGCCAGTGTTCATTCTAGGCACTCGCTGGGAGCCCACATTCAGGGGCTTAGCTACCCTGCTAAGGAGGCCCGAGGCAGAGAAAGCAATGTGCCCAGCCCTGCTGCCCCATCCATGTCAGAGGTGGGCTACAGGCCAAGACAGCCGCCACCCTGGCTCTCTACGCCCACTGCAATCCAGTGCAGCTGACAGAGACACCAGATGACACTGCCCACTGCACTCCTGTGTGGCTGACAGAGGCCAGCAGACATGCCGGTGGAGCCAACCCAGAATCCTGAGCAAATAAATGCTATCTGTAGCCAAGGTGTTTGGTGGTTCATTACGTGGCAGTAGATCCCTGAAACATTTTGGGGTTACCAGTGTGGATTTTCTGGATATGAACTCATTCACTGACAGGAAAGGACACTCTTATTTATAGGAAAGGGCCTAATGAACCGAAAACAAGGCCATATTGATCAGCTTCCTTCTAAGCCACATGTCAATTTTGTTATTAAATTTCATTACAAAATGAGTTGGGAAAGGTCCCATGATTCCAGACCTCATAGGATTCTTGGGACTCCTCACTGAAATTTTACCTGGATTTTTGGGGTACCATAAAGACAACTAAGCCCTCCCAAACCCACCTGCAGTAGTGACAGGGCTCTCCAAGGATGGCTTCTGTTGAGGTCCTGCAGAGAAAGGCACAGGGTTTGGAACTGGAAGGGGGTGGATTTGGGGTCCTGTGCAATATTTCAGCAATTCACCTGTATTCTATTCTACATGTCCCAATTTCCTTGGCTATTTCATAGTCCTATCTATGAGTTGCATTCCACTATAGTAAGGAGATCCTTTTGAAATACTTCATGTAAAAGAGAGGTGCTGAACAGGAGAGAGTAGAGAGCCGCCTCTTTGTCTTGCTACATGAACTGTGACCTCAGACCAATAATCCAGGCAACAGCTGGGGTCTCACCACAAATGCCATCTCAGGCCTCCCCAGATGGGCTAACGGCTCTGTCAGAGCTGCTTGAAGCCTCCTGCAGGCAAGAGTGACATGGTCACCCAGACAGAGGCTGTCTTCCATGTTGTTGTAGGAAGTACCTGCTCCCGGGAAGGCTTCTGTCTCCCGAGGCTACGTGAGGCAGCCTCACTTTGCCAGGGTTACAGGATGCCAGCCTATTGGCAGCAGTTGCAACCAGACCAAAGTCAAACTCCTGGGGAGCTCCAGGTATCACGAACTACTGTTTGGGGCGGACCGCAACAACAACCGCCATGGACATTACTTGGCACAGTCAGCACCACAGTGGTTAAGGTTCTCTTGATGGAAACATGCCCAGTTTCACAGAGGTCTGGAGCTCGAGCTCTGCCACGCCCTGTTTCAGGACTTTCTCGAGCTCTTAAGCTGGGTCTCTGTCAAATGGAGCAATACAGGCTTTTATCCAGGATGGGTGGGGAGGATTCCATGAGGGCACAGGCAAGCCCAGGAAGGTGGTAGCAGGTGCTCGGATCAGCTCAGCAGAGAGGCTCCGCACAGGTGCAAGTGTGACCATCTGGGACCCACTCAGGGGACAAGGGCAGCTGGGGTCCTTGTCCTTAGGGGCTCTGTGTGAGCCCCAGAGCATATGTCCAATCTGCCTTTCTTCGCTTTAGAGGAGAAGGATGTCTTCTTGCCTAACCATCCTGCTCCACTTCCTCGGCCCTGTCTATGGTCTGTGGGCCTGCACCTCAAGGCAGGCTTCTCCCTCAGCCCCTGAGTCCTGGCAGCAGAATCTTCAAGCAAAACAGGCCTGGAAATGGCCTAAGCTCAATTCCAAACCCCAGCATTTAGAAGCACAGAAGCTGAGAAACAGGCCCACTTGTCCACCATTTGTTGAGCAGCTGTCATGAGTTAAATTAAAAGAATGAGTCAGGAGCACACCCCTGCCTTACACACTCCCCCCAAAGGAAGCAAATGCATTTGGACATGTGTGATATATGCCACGAGCTCACAAAGTCGTCACTTGTTTGAAACAGAAGAAAGCCTCAGGAGTTATGGGTGTGGTGGCTGGGGCACATTGCATACAGGTAGCACGGACTATTAGGAAGTCCAGGACAGAGCCACACACAGAGGTCGCAGCCGGTCGAGGCACACTGGCTGCAGCCCTCTCTGCCTCTGGGAGCCAGGGGCTGTGTGCTGATGTCTCCAACCCTCTAGCTCCCTCTAGTTCACCCTCCTCCCTCAGCTCAGGCTCCCAGAGGCTGAGTTCTATGCACTTCCCTGGGGTTTCTGGCTGGGGTGGGGGTGGGGGCAAAAAGAGCCAGCAGCAGCACATTTGGAGAAAGGACTGAAGGACTGTCTCCCCGCCACCTCTGGGATTCGCCTTACTGCTGTTGGTGACACAGCCGCAGCTCTTACCAGGAAGCTCTCCTCCCCTTCTCTGCTAAGGTCTCGGGTAGAAACAGCTCTCGGGAAGCTGTTCCTGCGTGGGCCTATCTCCTGGTTTCCTCAACCTTTCCTGGGGAGAGTCACCTCAGAAACACTGCTCAGTCTCTCAGTCTGAGTGGCCCCTCAGTCATGACCCCCCAAACCTAGTGTACGACTTCTCCCCCATTATGGGGATGGAGACAGCAAGGCAAGTGGCTACGTCACCAGTGGTGAGTGAAGGGCCACTCGCCATGTGAACCACAATTCCAGAGGCCAGTTCTTAGCCAGGTTGCCTCGGAGGTACAGCAGCCTTATCTGTTTTGGAAATCCTGACGGGGGTCAGAGGGACAGAATCTCAGGGACATTGGGCAGGAGCTGGTAGGAATGGGGAGCCGACGTTTGGTGAGAGTGGGGACTGTGAGAGAACACTGGGAGACGAGAGTCCAGAGAACGGCAGTTGCTGGGCACATACAAGCAAATCAAAGAGGGGCCGAGGACAGAGTCCCAGGAACGGGGACACTGACAGAGAAAGGATAGAGGACAGTCAACACTCAGGCTGCACAGGAAACAAAGGGAGGGAGAGATTTTTAAAACCCACCTGCCTTCCAGGCTCAGCATGGGCACTGTAATTAGATTATGAATACTCAGAGAACTCAGTCTCACAAAGGAGGAAACCAACATCAGCTAAGAACTTGTCGAAAAACTCAGTGTCGGTGACAGAGCCAGAATCAGACTGAGATTCATCTGACCCTAGAGTCCCTTCAGGAAAGGGTCACGGCCTTCAGAAACCAGGAAGGAAGGACATGTGGGCAGGGAGAGTTTGAAAGATAGCAGCAGTTCTCATTGTTGATTTTTACAAAGTCTAAGGGAGACACATATTTTCATTCACTTTGATTGCCAAACAGTAGTCTTAATACCAAGAGAAGTAATAGGTGGCAGCAAATAACCCTTAACCGTGATGCATTTGTCCACTAAGGTGATATTTTACCCAGAACCCTCCACTTGTCTGTGGTTTAGTTGCACTCCCATCCCAGACATGATCTTATCCATCTCTTACCTCTGGATTTCCTCTTGCTAAACACAGACTGCCAGATGACAGCCAGGGTGAAGAGGAGGACACTGAGAATCCCCACGCAGCAGACGAGCACAGCATACATGTAGAGGTCTGGAAAGGGAGGATGCAGAGGTTAATGGTGACTGGGCTGCAGCAGAGGAGATGCACCAGATAAAATACACAGCACACGTTAGAAAATGCCAACTCCGATGGAACCACACATGTAAGTGTAAAACATAAACCAGAAAATTTCTAGCAGAAAATCTGTGGGATCCAGGATTAAGCAGAGAGTTTTAGACTAGATCCCAAAATCACCACCTAGTAAGGACAACTTGATAAGCTTAATGTCATCAAAATTAAAACTTTCTTTTGTCCTACAGAGACCCATATAAAGAGCAGATAAAGAAAGACAAGCTACAAACTGGGAGAAAATACTTGCAAAGCACATACCCAATATATTAGTTTCTAGAATATAAAAAACTCTTCAACCTCAACAGGGAAAAAAACTTAGAAAATGGGCAGAAACATAGAGACATTACTCCAAAGAGAAGATACAAACAGCAAATAAGCATAAGAAGTAGTCCAACTTCATTAACTATTAGAGAAAGACAGATTTCAGCCAGTGAGATATCACAGATATCACATTTTCATGTATTAGTGTCCATATCTTAGTTGAGATATTGCTTTATAATTCTGCAAGATGTTACCATTGACAGAAATTGAGTAAAGGGTACAAACTGAAACAAGGAATTTCTTTGTGTTATTTCTTAGAGACACATGTTAATCTACAATTAACTAAAGCAATTTTTTTTAAGTTCAGCTATGCTTATATATGCATTAATTCAGGTTGCTATAACAAAATACCATAGACTGGATAGCTTAAAAACAAAAAACAAGAAACCATTGATTTCTCAGTGGTAGAATTGGGAAAGTCCAAGATTACAAGATCACAGAGAGATGTGATACACAGCAAGGGCTCATGTCTGGGTTTGGAGATGCCTTTTCTTGGTATCCTCACATGGCAGAGAGGAGGAGAGGGGAGGGTGAAGATAAACAGAGAGCATGCTAGCTTCTGACAAGGACACTAGTCTGCACTCAGACCCTCACCTCCCAAAGTGCCCTACCTCCTAATACTGTCAGGGGAAGGAATTCAACATGCAAAGGTGGAGGAGACAAATATTAAACCCATAATAATAAACATCCATTAGTAATGACCAATCATTACTAATCTGCTTGATTAAATGGCAAAATGGCTCAGAAAGGAAAAGGGGAGCCGAAAGCATTATCTTAATCTTCACTACAGCAAAATGCTGCAGATATTTTAACTGAGCAAATGTTTGAACTTGGAAAAGTGTTTCTCTGCTGAGTTAATTTTTTTCCAGCCAGTAGACATTGATCATCAGTCGTATTCAGCACTCTCCTTCCTAGGTACAAGAAATACACGTCTTTTCATCCTGTTACTGACAGTAACAGGAACATGTGTTCGAGACTAGGAACATGCAGGATCCAATCCAGCAGGGGGGTGGGGGGGTGTTACAGAGGGGGTCCCCAAAGAATTGGAGCTCTGTGCTGGGGTACATTTAAAATAACACAGATGTCCATCAGTGAGTGAATGAAATATTGCTCAGTGGTAAAAAGGAACAAACTATTGACATGTGAAGCAGTGTGGATGAATTTAGACATTAACATTTAGTGAACTTTTGTTAACATTTAGTGCTTTTTAATATATCTGCAGATATATTTAAATCACAAATCCACAGTAACCTATATTGCTTATTACTGTGTTTCATTTTCTCATTAAACTCTCTTCAAAAATGAGTGAGTTGTCTCAAGCATATGACAAAAGTTTACCATAGTAATATGTGATTTAACAATAACTCATGAGGTACTTAAAGTGTTTCTAACTATTCCCTAAGATAGATGATGCCATGGTGAGCATTCATACGCTTAAACCTTAATGTATGTCTCCATGCTCTTAAAGCTAAGCTCCCAGCAGAACAGCCGAGTCAACAGGAATGCAGCTCTGTAAAGCCCTGGGGAACCTGGAGACGCAGTTGGTTAAGTGCTTAACCTAAAAAAATATATCGTGGGGATGGCTGTGTGGCGGCTTCCACGGTGAACCTGGAGAAGGAGGTAAGGCTTCGGTCAATGAGAGAGGAGAGAGAATGGGACTCTCCCCTCCCTGGACAGTGGCCCAGAGAGGCCTAGGGCAGTCTCTGTGGTCTTAGGTTTAGTGAACATTTCTGCCTAAATTAGCTGGAGTGGGTCTCTATTCTGGCAACTAAAAAACCTGTCCTTAAAAAAAAATGGTAGAAAGCACAGTATGACAAAGTTTCAGGAGAGGGGAGTACCTGCAGGAATATTTAAGGGAGAGGGCAAATGGAGGGAACCAGGAGCGTCTCCCACACAGAGAGTCAGCAACCAGTCACAGAAGCAGAAAAGCACTGACACCAGAGTTCTAGAAGCCAAGAAAGTAGAGTACTGTCAGAATGAATAGCATCAAGTGCTGCTGAAAAACACCCATTGTGGTTTCCCACCAGGAAGCTCCTGGGAAAGTCCGAAACCAATCTGGTGGGCTGATGGAGCAGAGCCAGATTTCAGAGGCTGAGGCAGTCAGTGGGGAAACAGATAAAGCTCTCCTATCATGTAAATCAAAGCTGCTTTTCTATAGAAACAGCAGGGGCTTGGATGTGTGGGCCTTGTAGATGAATATAGCAGCAAACCCGTGAGTTCAGAGAGTTAGAGGGGCTTGGGCCTCTATTTAGACAACATGGAACACTGAGGGGAAGAGCAGAGGTCTTAGATCAGGATTCATGACCAGACATGAGATGGGCCAGAACACAAGGCACAAATGACCAGTCCTGAATTTACAGACCGTTGAGCAAATCTCCAGGAACAGGATTACAGAGCCCTTTCTGGCATGAGAGATGGCAAACAATGTGCTCACATAGCCAGGAAGAGAGACACAGGCAGGCAGGTGAATCAGCATGTGCCTCACGGGAATCCTGGAGAGGTAGGCACATGGACCAAACCAAAGGCAAGGCCCAGTTGGTTTCAAGTTCTTTCCTCAGATGGAAAGAGAAACTCTGACACTGCTATACTACTGGAGTAGAGAGACAGCATGGGCTCTCCTCCTCATCTGAATTCTTGCCTTGGTTTTGGGGCTGCAGGAACCAAGGAAGGACAGGTTGCAGTGAGGATGCTCCATGAGCATCTTCTGGAAGTGCCCAGCAGATATCGTGGCAGGAGGCCAGGGACTGCAAGAGGCCAGCAGTGCAGCTTCAGATCCCAGCCTCCTCAACGTGGCACAGAGGGGCTCTCCATGGGCAGCTGCGGTTATAGACTCATAAAACATCTGGCCGGTCTGGGAGGCTCAGTTACTGCACCACGCACACAGCTCTGGGCTGTGGACACCAGCCAGCAGGCCTCAACCGCCTGCGTGCGAGTCCCACAGGCACAGGCTAAGCTGTGCTTGCCCTCTGTTGTGTTCTAGAGGCTACAGGAACTGTAAAAGTATCATCTTACTATAGAAGAAAAGCTCAGAAAGAGCACTTGAGATTGCCAAGACTGGGCAGCAACCCGGATCCAAAATTTTCTCTCTCCTCCTCCAAGTATTCTTGCTTCATGAGGTCCATTGTCCTACTGTGTCTACCCAAAACATGAAAATCAGCTTCCCTGGCTTTTCCTGCAAACAGGGGTTAAGTCCTGTGCCATTTCAGCCAGGATCAGGATCACCAACTCCTAAGACTCCAGGCCACTGCTCCATCAGACAAGCTAGACCCCATGAAGCAGCTGCCCTTGGGTCCAGCAGCCATTCTCAGGCCAAGGGCAGCCCAGGGCCACAGCTCTCAGTTTCTCCTGGGACATTCAGGTAAAGCCTCTCTAAATGTTGGCTTGAATGATTTAAAACTCAGACCAGGCTAAATAATGCTGCCTGGATGAAAAATCCAAGACTTTGGATCCAGATTTAAGAAAGCATCTGCTTTTAAACAAATTAACAATTCGCTTTAAAATACACAGTCCTACATACTTAGCAAATCTTTAAAAACCTTGTCATATTCCTTGAATCCATGTGCAGGTTTGTCTCGTCATTGGACTTTCAAAAGCACCAATATTAATTTTAGACACAGATGCAGAAAATGTCTCCCGGTTGTCCCTAACCCCGGCCTCCCTGAAGCAGATGGCGGGGCTGGCAGGCTGGGGTGATATGCACACGGCAGGGAGGCTAACACGGGGTGTACAATGTTCACACCAGCTCCCACCCTCCCAGAAAGCCAAGCCAGAGTGGCCCTGACAAAAGCAGAAGGTACCTGTTGCCGGGCAACTGAGCAGCTAGCTGGGGTATTCAGTGCTGCTTGGAAACCCAGTGACCCCAACATTCCTCAGCGTAATGAAGGAACCCCACTGTCCCTGGACTACTCAGTCAAGAAGGTCAGTGTCGTCCTGCACACTTCCAGGGTAAATGCAAATGCCAAGGAGACCTCAGTTCCATGGAGGAAAACTTGCACTTCTATTATGTCTTGATCTAACCTATAATACCACCTTTCTCAGGGCAAAATACCTGAGCGATAGCCCGGAGGGATTTTACCTCAATCCAGCATCTCACAGAGAGGCCAGACAATGTCTTCTTTTGTTCAGCAGGCACATAGCCTGGCAGGGCGAAGCCCCAGGAGGATGGGAATCCATTGCAGCCCCACTGAGGCGCCCCCATCCAGGAACAAAAGGGCAAAGGCCTGGGATCAGGCGCCAGGGAATTTCAGCTGCACCTATGACCTCACCAACACTGTGTCTGGGTTAACAAAATGAAACACACGGACGGGCACTGCTAAAATTATCAGGCCAAACAGTGGACACTGCACTATACGAGGGAGAATTCCTGCTCTGCATTCTCTGTGCTGAGGAGACAAAGCACGTTGGCTATGGATTTTGAGTACCTTAGATGGACAACAATCCGGATGATCTACAGCTAAATGGGAATCATCGTATGTTAAGCAGTGTTTTAGAGACGCTGACGATGCTGCCAGGCTTGTAAGGACTAAATGCTACAATCCTTCAATGCGCATCAAGTCTTGTTTACGTGTCCTGTGATATTTCAAAATACAGTCCTCAGGCCACACACGGCAGAAACAACTTGGGTCCTAATCAAGTGCCAATTCTCTCTGGATCTCTCTGGGTGTCAGATTATCATGGGGTGCCCAGAGTCCAGGCTACTAACCAAGCCCCCAAGAGATAATTGTACATCTTTGGGATAAGCAGGGTTCCCAGTGTTAGAGCTGCCAGTGACCTAACTTAGGGACCCCCGGACTGTCCGTCTCCACACTTCCACCCACTCCCAGCAGGGAGGTCACAGGCCAGCTCCAGAAACTTGGGGTAAATGTAGTTCTACTTCAGCCTGTGAGGAGGCAAGTTACTTTCATCTCTTTACTAATCACAGGATTTCCCTGAATGAAGGGACTTGAAATGATTGTGCTAGAAAATGGTCATTTGGTAAAGGAAAAGGCAGAGGATGCAAAGAAGCTTTGTTGGAATCAAATACGATCTGAAAAGCAAAATATTTAAAACTACAACAACATAAATCCTAGTGATCTACACAGCCACCTTATGGCTGGTGCACAATGTTCACAAATATGGTTACGTTTTTTTCTAAAAAGAGAGAAAGTGGCTCCAGCTGTTAGGGGGTACTGTGCGCCCCACCCCCACTCACAGGCAGCTGCCTGGAGCTGACCACGGGAGTTCGGGGAGCAGCAGAGCAGCGAGGTGAAGCTCTGTGAGAGACACTGAAGGTAGGTGGGCTGGGAGCTGCTCCTCTGGCTTTGACTTGGACCCCGGTACTAACTGTTGAGAGACTTGGAAGAGTCACATGCAGGAGAGATAAGTAGGGACACTTGAAACAGGGGAAGACTGTCCTTGCCAGAGACAGTGGCAGCCATTAATTGATTTGTATTTTTGTTTGCTTTTTTGTCCCAGAACTACCTGCCCCTTTCTCACCGTTCCTTACTAGAAGGCACCTTAGGTTCGTGCCAAGCTTTCGAGCCTCAGTGGCACCACCTCAGATAGACCCTATTTGGTTAGACACTTGCTCATGAGGGGACGGATAATTTGGGGGGGGGGTAATTATTAGGGTGCTCTTATTAGAAATATCCTCTCTTCTCTCTCCTCCCTATACATTCTAATTCTATAAAGGGTCTATCACATTAAGAGTCTGCTTCCTTTGTCTTTATGCGGCAGATGGCAGAATCCCTATAGAATATGCATCTTGCTAGCTGGGGTCCCTGGGTGCCTCTTCATTGTGTATTAACAAATCCACTGCTTTTAACTAGTTCTTAGAAAAGGTTTGAATCCAAGCGCTCTTCCCTACCAAGCCCTCCTGCCACAGTCTTTGAGCTAACAAATGGCAATGGGGAAGCCCCAAGGCACTAGCATCTCCCAGACCTTTTTGGGAAGAGCAGCCAGCACCAGCCAATGCCCTGCCTCCACAAGGTATACAACTTCAACTGTCTCCACAAGGTACACACCTTCACCTGTCTCCACAAGGTACACACCTTCACCTGCCTCCACAAGGTATACACCTTCACACTTTCCTGATCACCTTTCAACATTTGTTTCAGCTTTTCACTGACCAAAGGCTGCCTGAGAACTTGGGAAATGTATCTTTTCTATTTTTATGGTCATAATCCCCCCACCACTTTGTGATAATTTGTAAATGTACCTGACTCTAAGGCAAGACATCTCAGCATTAGCATTCTTAATATTTGGGGGACGTGTAATTCTGTTGTGGGGGCTCACCAATTCATTGTAGCATGTTACCACCAACCTTGGCCTTCATCCAAAGAATGTCAGCAGCAACAAAATGCTAGTTGTGACAACCAAAAATAGATGGAGATATTGGCAAAGGCCCCCTGGAGGGGTAAACTGTCTCCTTGGAGAAGCACTGCTTTAAGGGTTAACTCTGAGGATACATCACAATCACGCAAGGTCTAATTAAAACCCTAATTAAAACTGGGAGCTACCCCTAGAGTTTCTGACTCCATAAGCAAAGTAGGGCCATAAACAGTACATTCGTAATAGGCTCCCAACTGCTGCTGCTGCTTCTGGTCCGGGACCAGCTCTAGGGACCTCTGCTCTCGAGGCTAGGATGATCTGGGAATATGGGGTCATCTGCTGGGATCATCTGGAAATCTCTAGAGACCAGCGCTTTAAAAGTTCTCTAGGTGATTCTCACATTGGGTTGAAAATCACTTGCTTAAGGTTTTCAAACTGTTTCCAGAACCCCAAAATCCTTAAGGAGACAGAGAAAGAATTAGTCACGGGAGATGTGCTTTTCAATTTTATATTACTTGATGATCAAGCGGGTTAATATATGTAAAGTATTTAGGATCATACCTAAGACCTAGCAATCATGATTATCTGTGAGGATATCTTGGTAGTAATTCTACAGCAAAATAAAACAACCAACCCCAAATTAAACTAACGAGTTTTCACTCCACTCCTACAAAACTCATACACTGATACCACAGGAAATTCCCATCTGACTCTTGAGTAACTTTAGGGTAAATTGACATTGCAGCAAAACTAAGATGTTGGGGCCCTTTCTTCCCGTTCTATCCCTTTCATATTATATAAAAGTGAGGGTGCATCTTATAATATAAGAATAAGCAAGTTTTACCATCAAAAAATGCCCAGCTCTCTTTCTTTTTCCCAAAGGATGAATCTTCAGAAGTTTTGAGGGAAATCACTGTAAGACAAAAAAAGAAACGACAAAGCATGAAGTAGTTTTCACATTGACAAAAGCACACTTAATTGTCCCAACTCAAATGTCAGGGAGAGGTAGAATGACTCAAGCCTAACAACTGAGATATCCGAGGCACCAGAGGAGGGAATTAAGTTGGCTGTGTTTAAAAGTCAATAAATACTATGGTGGGGTATCACAGATGTTTTGGTGGTGGGTACACTATGGCGATGACATATTATTTAAGTCGATGACAATAATAATAAATGGAAAGCTAGGAATCAGTTCAATAGAAGTCCCACTTGCCCCCAAATAATTGCAAAATAAAGAGACTCACAATGGAAATTCCAAGAATCAAATATTATTTACTATTTGAGTGGACCTCTTTCTAAAATGTAGGGTACTTTCCCCAGCACCCTTATATAGGGAACATCCACCAACCCTCCATTTTCCATACAAGATAGTCACACAGAGCAACAGTCATCTGATTTGGAGATTATTTTGTTGAAAACTGAATTTACTGGGCTTACTTTCAACAGGCAAAGAAACAGAATTAAGCTACACTGTGTAGAACTCTGAACATCACACTAAAGGACCTAGAACTGCAGAAAGGTTCCAAGTATAGGGGTAATGTCATCATGGACAAAAATCTAAAAAACAGGGAATCACTGTCCAACAGAACCGTCTGAGGTGATATGAATGTCCTATGTCTACAGCATAGACATATTGCAGTCGCTGTCCACATGTGGCTATTGAGTCAATGAAATGTGACCAGGCCATACAGGACTGACACACTGAATTTTAATTTTATTTGTTAGTTAAATTATTAATTTAATTTTAAGTAACTACACGTGGTTATTGGCTGCCACACTGAAGAGCTCTAGAAAGAGAAACTAGGGCCTGAAAAAAAAAAAAAAGAAAGAAAGAAAGATGGTCTGAAACTTTGAGTTTACTTGCATCCCATCCCCTCCCACAAACTGTGTTATTAGTGCCATGGATGTCGATTCTGGATTCTCCTTTTTTTCTCTCTAAGTCAGCTCTAGATATTTTCTATTGATCTACCTTTTTAAAAAAGATTTATATATGCATACAGAACTGGGATACAGGCCAAAGATGCAGGGGTGGTGAGAGGATTCACCAGAGACAGAGTGGGGAGCAGAACAGGCAGATGCTGAGGGGAGCAGCAGGCAAGACAGGCGAGATCTGCTGCACCATGTGGGTCAGCTCAGGGACTGGAACCCAACTCACACTGAAGTGGCTGAGGCTAGCTCGCAATGCTGCATCCAAACCGTTGCGCCACCAGGGAGGGCCCTCTATTGACCTACCTTAGCCCTACCTTAGAGATCACTAATTTTTTTATTCATCTATGCCTCAATTTTGTGAAACCAAACCCATCTATCAAATATTTTGTTTCATTTTTTTGTGCTTTTCAGTTTCTATATTGCCTAATTCTTTCCCATTTCTCCAGCTTGTCATCTAATTTCTTGACCATATTCGTCATAGAATTTGAGTACACATGCCTGATAACTTGCATGTCTGCATCACCTGTAGGCTTGTTTCTGTTACATGTTTTTGCTTTTGATCTTGCCTCTTGGTATGCCTGGTCATTTTGTTAACTTAATGTCACGCATTTCATATGAAAAATCCTGGAAGAAAATTTTATTGTTCTGGTAGGAAGTTAGAGAAGGAGAATGATCACCTAAACTTGGTTAGAGGCTGGGGCTTCATGTCTTTATATAGTCTAGCCTTCATGGTTTCTCCATACCTCGGGATCCCCAGTGAAAAGCCTGGGGCATTTACAACAGTCCTTCTAATTTTCATCTCACTATAAAAATTGCCAAAACATCTGATTGTCTTCTAAGTTGTTTATTGTTGTAAGAGAAATATAAACCAAAACCACAATGAGGTGGGAGTAGAGGATGGTGGATTGAGATACCACATCCACCTGCGTGAATGAACCCATCTCAGGACGACCAGAAACAAGAAGTGTTGATAAGAATGTACGGAAAATGTTATATACAGTCTCAGTGGGAACACTTAACTGGTCCAACCTCTATGGAAAAAAGTTTGGAGTTTCCTCAAAAAACTGAAAATTAATCTGCTACATATATGATCCAGCAACTCCATGTCTATTCAAAGAGTATGAAAACACTGATTGAAGAAGATACGTGTGCCCTGTTCACTGCAGCACCATTTCCATAGCCAAGGCATGAAACACACTAAGTGACAGCCTAGGGGTGGCTGGATAAAGATGTGACGCATGCACACAATGGACACCAGTCAGCTACCAAAAGGAGAACTCTCGCCCTGTGCCGATACATGGTATCGGTAGAGCTGGAGGGGATTATGCTGAGAGAAGTAAGTCAGATGCAAAGAGGCAAATACTGTGTGATTTTACCCATATGTGGACTATGAAGAAACAAAGCAGCAGAACAGACAAAACTAAACCAAAACAAACCCATGCATTCTGACAGCAGAAAAGTTTACCGCAGCAGGAAGGGAAGCAGGAGTAGAGCATGGAGAAGACCTGATCCCATCATCCTCTACCGACCAAACCACCTCCACTACCTCCTTCCCCCTGCACCTGCCAGGCAGGGGAAGGGTGGCACACTGCCCCTGTCTGGGTGAGAGGAATATGGTCAAGGCCCTCTATCATGCCACCTGTGCTGACAGTAGCCTCTCAACAAAGAGCTAATGTGAGGGGTGAGAAGTGTGCGCCCCTTGGGAAGGTCTCATCACCCCAGCTGCTAGGAGTAATGCAGGTCCTGCTTCCCCAGGACCCCATCCGCAGCAATTCATGTGACCGTCCTCCATCCTTCCTGCTGCCAGGGGTCCCATTAGGGAGGTGGGAGGGTGCAAGTTGCCACCTCTTCTCATCAAGTGAGGGCCTTGAGTGTACATGCTGGGTCGAGGTGAGGGGAAGGAGGAAATTACAGCTGATCAGGGAAACAGAAGCAGCTCAATTTGGTCTCAACTCAATTTGCCTTTCTCAATACAGCTTTATCAGAAATAAAGTAGGCATTCTGATGTCTGACTCCCATGTCCATATCTCCATTACTTCAGGCTCACAGCAGCAAAAAAAAAGCTAAGTCACCAACTGACTGCTCTGTGATTTCCTTGGAACCTTGTGCGCCATGGCAGAACCGATCTGATCTTCTGGTCAGGTGTTAGCCCAGGGGACTGAGCTGCAGGGCCTCATTCCCTCCCCAAGAGAGCAGAACAGATGAAATCTAGTAAGGAGCAAGTTGTGAGAGCCACTAAAACATGGCCCCTCCAGGAAGAACTGGCTGAAAGTGGGCACAGGATCAAACATTCTGGAAGAATGAAGCCCAGAGCTACAGAGACAAACCGATCCTATCTGCCTGGAGGAAACAAGGAGGAAAGAATCTTCATCAAGCCCCCTTTGATGGACCTGCAGGGAAACCATCATGCAGAGAGGTGTGAAAATTGAGAGTTTTAATTCCCAACTTGGACAGAACATCCTACTGATTGCCCTGGGGAGGGCATGTTTCACATGGTGTGGCAGACAGTGTCCCTGGGTTCATATGGAGACCTGTGGCCATGCCGCCAGGGCCTTCCCAGGCTCCTGCTCACCAGCAATACGGGGACCTGGCCATAGACAGAGCAGATGGTTGACAGTTTTGAGAGGCCCTGGGAGGGCTCCATTTCTCCCAAAATTCTTTCACACTGGCTCACCTATCCCCCATTCCTTTAACAAAGAATCCTACAATTAAAGGAGCTTAAACAGCGAACATGGTAAGCTGTATGTTTCTGACACAGAGAGAATTCTGGGTGCAAGGACCCCCTCTTCCCATGCAGGTGTTGATGGAAAGGGCCCTAGCACAGAGAGTGAGGGGCCCACAGGGAGCAGTAGCAAGGGCAGGGAGAGACTGGCTCAGAGTTCGGGGGCCTCTCCTTAGCCTTTCTGTTTCTACTACTGGTAAGGCTGGGCTCTCAGATTCCACAGATCTTGATCAGAGCTGTTGACTTCATTCAGTCCAAAGATCAAGATCTCTAAAACTTTAGTGTTCAGGACTGACTGGGACTCTTATAAAAATAGAAATTCCCAGGCATCGCCTCTGAGTTTCTATTTATAGAAAGGGCGTGAAGATTTGTATGTCTAGGGAGCAAAGGTTTCTGAAGAGTCTGAGGTGTGAGGTTGCAGGACCCACCTGGAGAAGCCCTATAGCCCATACTCCATCCCTCCATCCCACGTTCACTCTCCTTCTGCTGAATGTGTTACCCTAGAATGCATCACTATACTTTCACGATTGATCTTGGATGAACAGCCATGCGGGGTGGAAGCAAGCAGTGTGAGGGCTGGGACTGCAACTTTCTTTCCTTCCTTTCTTGTCTCCTACCAAGTCTTGGTTACTTGGGACAATTGAATGGAATAAATAGCACTGTACTGGTGGATCAAGGTCTCAAAGGGCAACCTGGAGCCAGGACATGGTTACATTCTGGAAGGCTGGGAAGAGGGGCAAGGCACGGAGCCTGGAAGCCTCACCTCAGAAGTCATGAGGATGCACCAACACACCAAGCTGTGGAGCGCCAATCTCTGCAAGCTGGAGTCACATGCTTTGGGCCTGTTCTGATTTCCTATATGGTCGCTTGAGTTCTTAGCTCCTTATCCATCAGAGGCAGGAAGTCCCAAGACCTTAAGCAGTTGATTCTTAAGTTTCTTTCAAGTTGGAAGGAGCGAAAATTGAAGACCCTGACCAATAGCAGGTAAACCTAGTCTGCCCCCAGAGGGCATAGAAACCTGGAAAGCAGATGCCACCCTGCCTCAAGTTTCCTCAGGCAGCATCTTGCATAGATCAGTAAGACAGAAAAATCTAAGGGGAAGAGAGAGACTGGTGATATAAAGTACACACAAGAACAGACCTTTAAATAAAATAAAGATGAGAAAATACCTTTGCTCCAAATTCAAAAATTAGTATACTTAGTTCCTGGCTCCTCTTATTCAACAGTGGGCTGGTTTCCCTAAGGGAAAAAAAACCTTAAAA